GGCATCTTATACTTGGTACTGGTGGTGGAGGTGGTGGCAATGGAAATGATGGAGCTCACTGGTCCAAAGCATGTCCTGACCACTGCTGCTGTTTCCAGAGAAGTGACAGCTGAGCATCACACCCTCAACCATCCGTTTCTTTCTCTGTGGCCTTCAGCATTCTAATCCCCACCTTTTGGGAAAGAAGATTATGCTGGTGGGGAACCAAAGTGGAATGAACAATTCAAGTTCTATCTCTTGAAATACCTGAACGTTTCCTACAGACCACGGTGGCCGCATCTTAAGATGGGATTGTTCATGGAGATCTTAGAACATAAAGACGGTGCAGGCAAAGGAAAGTGCATATGCTACTTTTTAATCTATTGTTCTTCAATGACATCGAGTTTGGATTTGATGGACATGTGGGACTTTTATTGCCTCCAGCTGCATTATTCAATCTGTCTTTTGTTCTTAGTGAGAAACAGTACAATGAATCAGAATACATTTGTTGTTAATATGCTAGATAAAATCAAACTGTACAAGGCAGCACGAATCTGAGGAGACAAACTGGGATTTTAATCCCCATGGCTCGATTTAAAACCTTGGCATAATTAAACAGAGTCCGATTCCTCATTCGTAAAAACAAAAGCTCCAATAATAACAATGAAGCTTAAACAGAGTCCGAGTCCTCGTTTGTAAAAACAAAGGCCCCGATAGTAATAACGAAGAGACTGATAAACATAATGCCCCCCTGAGGTGAGTTGAATGTTAAATGAGATATCATGTCTAAGGTTTCTGGATAAGTGGTGTGTTAACAACAGTGTCTTGTACAGAAGAGAACTTTGACAAATACTTAATGGATAAATTAAGGAGCAAATGGAAAGTGCCATTCTCCTAACAATTGTCAGCAAGTGTCAAGAAAAGAGCTGTCCTTCTTTTCTTCTTAGATATTCTCACTGGTTTACCAAAGATTGAGCATTGTATAGAAATACAAACCACAAGGTTTTTAACTTCAGAGGTTACAGAAAAGTGCATCTCCATGGGTCTGCTCTCTGTGAACACACTAGCAAACCCAAATGATATATCCCAGCATATCCAAACAAAACATCATTTTCCCCTGCTCCCATACTCTCCTTTAACAAACTCTGCAGAGACTACCTAACAAACTTGAGAGATGTTTTCTACAGGAAATTCCGTTTTGATAACTGGACAGTTTTCTAATACTGATGCATAAAGACCCAGCTTGCCAGTTGTACCCTCTGAAGGAACATGAAAAAATGATGCAAACTTCAAATATGTCTGAGACTCAACACAAAGACATAATGAATGGAAAAGGCAGTTTTAAAAACAGCCTTTAAATATATCTGTATTCCCTTACACATATGTCCATGGATACAAGGCTCCCTTGCCTGGATGTTTCCTCTGATCATTGACACTGAGTGGTCCAAAATGTGCCTCACTACGTTGAGCACTTAGGATCATGCTTGAAAGTAGAGCTTCTGAAGGACTCTTTGCTGTCTGGGGTCTTAGCTCCTTTAGAAACACTGAGTTTGTTACAGTGTTTATTCTCTTTATTAAAGCAGTACATTTTTAACCTGAATGGTTTTCTAAAACCCCTAAAAGCAAAGAGAAAAAAAAATGTATTCCTTCCAGCAAAGTCAGTCTGAAAAGACGAGCAAGAAAAAGAATATAAGAAAATGAAAATGAAGGAAGAAAAGTTATGGGCAGAACAAACAATATAGAGTACACAGGACTCTTCTTCATCTCCCTGGATGCTACCTTTTAGCACTAGAGTTTGAGTCTGCTTATCTTCAGACTAGTTCCTGCCTATGGGCATATAAATGTATTTAACATAAAACACTCAAGAAGTAATCTCTTGCCTGTAGTCACTCAAAAAAAAAAAAAAAGATAATGTTGAAGCCAAAGTTAAATACTTCATTATGATACATAACCAACCATGGAGTAGCTTTCTTAAACATAGTTATATGAAAATTGGCTCCCATAGTAATATCCAACACTTCCACAGAAGCTCCTATGTTCTGGGTGTACTTCTCGTGTGGTCCTCTCATAGCTCAGCCCAGCCAGCTAGTTAGTGCTAGACCTGTGTTACAGAAGTTGCTGTTAAGGAACAGAGAATGCAGTGAATTTACTTAGCTACACAGTTTGTAGAATGAAGGTGGAATTTGACTTTATTTATAATTGTTACTGCTTTTGATTTTTTTTAATACTTGAGACATACTCCCATGTTGCCCAGGTTAGTCTCTACCTTGTTATGTAGTTCAGGAAGATCTTGAATTTCTGATCCTACTGTTTGCATGTACCTTATGCTGAAATTGCAAGTAAGTGCCACTACTCCCAGTTTATGCATTGTGAGGGATGAGACCAAGCACTTTGAATATGCTGTGTAAATAACTACAGACACTGAAAATTATCTTTCAAACTGGTACTTTTAAGATGGACAGGGGGTTCTATTAATACTTACCCCAAACTGTAAACAGGTCTATGAAACTAAGAAACACCCAAAACCCAAGTCAAGGGCAAAAATGGGTTCCCAGGGTAAAACAAGCTGGTAGATGGCTGTATTCTTTACTAGCTTTGGTTTATCTATTTTTCTCATCTTTGCATCATTCATCCATACACTTTTGCTCTCTTGCTCTCTTGTTTTCTTTTCTTATGCCTTCCCTTTCTATCTAAAATTCAGGTGATATATCAAGTTTACTAGCTCTAGTTTGTACGTGGAACACACTCACTACAATGGTGAACAACACAGTCTTTATTCTCTTTAACTTCCACAATAGCAAAGGGTAAAACCTTATAAGCTCCCTGAGGAGTAAGTCTTGCTTTGCTGAAGCAAAAGGATCATGAAGGAAGAGAGCTCATACATTTTTAGACTCATCTACAGAAATTCCCTTGTGCTTCTGATTAACAAAACTCTTAAAAGAAAGATAATGATAGTTGAGGTTGGGAAGGAGATGTGTTGGGGGGTACTGAGGAACGCTAGAGGGAGAAAATGAAGGTAAATACGATTAAGATATGTTGTAAACTTACATAAAATCTGGAAGGAATACATTTAATACTGTTTTTAAAAGCTAGAAATGGGGGAAACCCATTTACACTGAACCTGGATCATTTTAGAGCTTGGTCAATAAAGACATGATATTAAATTCAACCTGCTATCATTAGTCCAAAGTTTACCATGAGTCACCTATTTTACTTCATAAGAGATCAAATCTTGTTTTATAGTGAAAGCACAGTTTTCTGGATTCAGGGCAATTCTTGGAGCATTGAAGATGTCTCTATTTATCCAGAGACACTCTATCCTTTCACATTTCATCTCAGCTCCATAAGCTGTAAAAAAATTCTTATTGATGAAAGCCTGTCTATCTTCTAATGCTTACGATGACTGGATTTAACAACCAGTTACCATAGACGCACAGCATATACTGTGCGGGTGTGCTTTGTTTTTGTCTCATAAGCAAAAACCCACATATTTACTAAGTTGTAGTTTAAGGAATTAATATTTGAATCTTGCCTCCTCAGTAGTCCTCTAACACGCTCTTTCCATTTCCTTAAAGGCTGATTCCCAATATATAAGGGATTTGGACAGTTAAACTCAGTGAAGAAGGGCAACTGAAGTTAGAGTCAAAGACATTTCATGGAATTTTGCACATTATAATTCAACAACCAAGGACATATATTTACCAACGTGTTGACTGTTTTTCTGTACACAGCTGAAGTTTTGTGTCCTTGAGCACATTTGAGTAGGGTTATTTATGAAAAGAAATCATCTTGGTTTTAAAAATTAAAAAAAAGAAACTAAAATAATTACACTCGTTATTCAAAAGATGGCATTTAACATCCGTAACTAATTTATGTCTTATCCAGTACCTTTTTTTCCTTCAACATTTAGTTAGCAAATCCTTTTTAAGCTTAATATGTCAAATTGCAGGCCAAATGAAATTCCATCCTGTGCTGATAATGGATGTGTATAATAGCCACAAAGAGCTTTCATAAAGTATAATTTCACTGTGCACTGCCATAATACATAACCAATTTAATTTGAAACCAAGCCAGGGGTGCCGTAATATATTTATACAACTAATATTGTTAAAATCTTAATTTCATCCTCTCTTGTTTTAAATTACAAGTTCCTCCAGAATAAAATCCACTTCTGAAGAGCCTAATGGTTTTTACTTTCTCTTTCCTATTGTGATAGCTTTTAGAGTTTGCCCATCGTCTTTCCACTTATATTATCCATGGGACACTTGAAGCATTAATGTAGAACAGGTGTGGGCTTATGGAAAATTTGACAAATTACATTTCTTAATTGTAAAATGTATATAATATATAAGTGCCTAAGTATTTATCATCTTAAACCTTATTATATACATTATTGTAAATATAGGTACATGTACTATACATTTAAAATTACTATTACATAAAATAAATGCACTCAGACTCCTCAAAACCTATCATTTATGTTTCTTTCAACATGCATTAAAATATGTATTTCTAGGGGATGAAGATAGCTCAGTGGTTCAGACCATGGGGTTCTCTTCCACAGGACCTGGGTTCAATTGTCAGCACTCACATGATGACTGACAGCCCTCCATAACTATGGTCCTAGGGGATCCAATACACTCTCCAAGCCTCTGCATGGACTGTACTCCTAGTACCCAGACATACATGCAGGCAAAACACCCATACACATAAAGTAAAAGTAAATAAATCAAAATTATTTTTAAACTTGTATTTCTAGTAGTAAAAACACACCTCTCAAGACACTCCCGTCACCATTGACCATCATTGTGTGATTTAGAATCAAAGCCAAAGAAACCTGGTAGTAAATGAAAGAGTTCCCAGCCTGAAAGAACTATGCTGTCTACTAAATATATATATTTTACTGCTCTGCAAACTATAAATTTACCTCAAAACTCAATTTTGAGTATACTCAGATTTTATTTGATTTCAGTGACATTTAGATCAAGATTTGCTGATTGCATTCTTTCTTTTTCAACTAGTGGCCAGCATTCAGAAGCTTCCCGCCGCCTCTGTTCTAACAGACATCAACTTCCCAATGAAAGGTCGGAAGGGAATGGTGGACTGGGCAAGGAATTCAGAAGATCGAGTTGTGATTCCAAAAAGCATTTTCACTCCTGTGTCATCAAAAGGTAATAGTGACGAGTAATATGAGCTGTGAACCAAACATTTCTGTCAAGGTCACTTAGTAAATCATATATGTCTTCATATATCACACAATATTGAAATCCCTTACAAACATGTTTGTAAACCTATTTTGTAAATGTAAACAGCTTGTCATTGGTCTTTAACCAGCACATTTTCTTGAGGAAAGGATTTATTAGAGTGGGGGAAAATATAACCACAAACTATTGATCTAAGCTTGGTGTGTTCTTATTTCTCTCACATTTTCATCCCAAAATAAACTACATGGCCTAATACTTTAACTTTAGATGTGAAAATGTGATTGCATTTTCTCTTCAAAGTCATTTTCGTGTATGTTTGCTCATGTCTCTTCTTAAAATGCACTGTTATTTGCAGATATTATTTTGGTGTAAGTAACACATCTAAGAAAAGACTACCTTCTACTAGTATCTTAAATTCCTTCTAATATTAGCTTCAAAAGAATTGTGGTCTTATTGCTCCCTTTGGTAATCCTGAACTTAATCTTAATGCTACTGAAGATGCTGCCTATTTCCCTCATATCACTGAGAATTGAAATCCTTTTCATGGACTGGAGGAAGGTTCTAATCTTAGCCTGGTCAGGAAAAAGATTGATACTTATTCAAAACCATCAAAACCACTGTTGTCTACAACTACCTGGGCAAGGTGATGGGGCTCACTTACCCTCGGCCTGACCAAGACTGAATGACGTTCTGCTCCCTGTCTTTCTCTTTGCCTTTAAATGAGTATTGAAACGACCTAGTGATTAATGGATTAAAGTTTCTATGGTTGTAATTTTGTGTGGTTTTACTAAGAGTTTTCCCCTTTATTCTTCCTAGAATTGGATGAGTCATCTGTATTTGTCCTTGGAGCAGTCCTATACAAAAACTTAGACCTAATTTTACCCACTTTGAGGTAAGCTACAAAAGAATAAGCTGTTGTAATCTTTGTAATTTATTTTAAATGTGATTATAGTTCATTCTCTGAAATAGCCAAACTAGCTTTACTAATACAAAGGGTTTTTTAAAGGAAACAGAAAAGAGAAATTTAATGAATACCTTATTAGCATGTTATGTATTTCAAAACAACTACCAAAGACAATTTTGGTATCTGATTAAAGCTCCACTACTCTTTTGTAACTAATCATGAGTTGCCGGAAGATTAGAAAGAGAAAAAGAAAAAAAAACCCTCACTGCCCTCTAATAGAATAGGCCATTGTAAAATTCATCTGTCTTCCCCTTTTCTTTGTAATTAATGATACTTTTCTCTGACATTATAGGAAATTAGAGTCATGGTAACTGGGAAAAAATAGTTTTGTTCTTCATTTGCACAAGATCTCAGTTTCCTTAAAAATAAAATCTCAATTACAGCTACATTAAGAATAAATGCTCCTCCTCAATTAGAGAGTATTTTTGGAAGAAACCCATCTATTTTTTCACTCAGATATTAAAAAAAGTTCAATTAATAATTCCACCAACATTCATCCCTGTGTTCTATTGTCTTACCTACTTTATTAAATCGCACAGGGAATATCATTTGCATCTATTTGCATAGTGATCATATTACTCAAGATGACTTACTTCCTGACAGCACCTCATTCTCAAGGATGGAGACCAAGTTTTATTCTGGTTAACACAGCCATACTTGCTTTGAACTCTCCCAACATACCCTCATAAATAAAGCCTTATGTTTTCAGGGAGGAGAAGATATGAATAATGTGTGCAGTTTTATCAGAGACATAACAAACAGTCTAATAAATAAAAACAATTAGAGTTTAACCCAGCAGAAATGGCCTCCTAACAAGATAGCAGACACTAGTCATTATTCCTGGCAGACATTCTCTGTGCTCATTCCTAATGTAGGTGGTAGGGCATGGTTGATGCGTGGTCTCTCCCAACCACATAGTCCTTCTCTGGATTGAATTTGGACTTGTTTGATTGGATAGATTTGAGTTGGGTTGTGCTCTTCTAGAAAAATATTTTGAAACTAGTATGTTTATACTAAACCTTTTACTGGCTTAGTATGTATAGATACAGATAAGCTATATCCATGCCTGTAAAACTCAAAAGAAGAGGTGTTTTCCAAGGTCAAAAGTGCTTAGATAAAGTTAGATCCTTACTTTCGAAGAGAGCTGACTTTGTCACATTTATCACTAAGTCTTGTCTAGACACTATCAGGCGCCTTGTTTGAATTTCACTTGAACATATTAAAAGCTTCCAAAACTTCTCTAATCTCACAGTAATTCACTTCATCTGCCATCAGCTCAACTTTAAATAGAAACCCTTCAAGGATGATGCTTGTACTCTTTGCTGCTGAGGTCTACAGGGAATAAAAAATATATCCAACCTAAAAGCATACAGTGATTATTTCCTTGATTATTGTGATCATTTCCTTCCTGGAAAGGCCAACAGATTTGCATGGTTAATCCAGTTCTTAATAATCTAATTAAATATTCTCACTTGTACAATGGGGAAGGCACATCGTTCCAAGTTCCAGAAATTCATATAGTCAGGAAAATTGGAAATTTGTCTAGGGATATGCCAATTTTACAAAAGAAAAAAATATGGTTCAACTTTTTTTTAATTGTGACAAAGACAATTGTTTCTTATGATGTATAAATAGAGTAATGGGTCTATGGTAAGTTATTAAGTGAATGGAGCAGAGAATCATCTGGAAGGCTGGCTCTCCTAACCCACTTGTGATACAAACAGATTCAGATAGGCCCTGGGGCAAGTTACTATGTTTTCATATGAAAAATGTGGGAATTGATTTTAAAGATTCTTTTCAACTTCCAACATTCTTTTTATTGGAGAAGGTAACTATATTTTCTGTAGACCAAAGACCTTAGTTACCTTTGTCTAAGAGCTAGAACTATATGACAAGTACAAAGTCATGGGCAGATAGAGAAATAGACAATGTGTTTTACTGCACATTTGATTGACTATTGATTATAATAAAGACTGCCTATTTAAAAATAACTGGAAGAAAGGATTGGGAATGTTCTCTTCACAAAGTATTGATTTTTTAAAATGATCAATATGCCAATTATTCTGTTAGAACATTACACATGTAAACAGTATCAAAGCATCTCCTAGTCTTCATAAATCTGTAAAATTATATCAAGTAAAAGTGTTTAGATGTTAAGCATTATATGTAGTTATTCAGTAAGTGACTGTAGGAGACACTTATGTGTCTGTCGTTATCCAGAAATGACGTTAATAGAAAGCTCAGGATGAGATGTCTTCTTAAGTGCTCTTTGAATGAAAAAGATGCTGGTGTTTAGTTTTCATTTTTGGCTATTTAATATCTGAAATGTATCCACTAAGCACTCACAGTTTTGTTTTTCCACTTTTGAAAATTTCTTCCAGAAATGTAAGATAAACCTTAAGGTCTCAGAATTTTATATTTTGGTATAATTATTTTCAAACAGAACTAGGAATTATAAAAGATGATGAGATAATGGTTCAAATAAACATAATTAAGAAAGTTTCCTTCATATAAGAAACAGATTGAATTTGCATGTTCTTTTTTAATTTGTGTAGTTTTTTCCTCTTGCTTCAATGTGCTTCCAGCCATGATTTTTATTTTGCTACATGACTATCTTCCTTTGTAAATTTGAGAAATTTCATAGGCAGTGAGATGGCTCAGCCTACCAGCAATCCTGATTACCTGGGTTTGAACCCCAGGATCACCAGGGTGGAAAGAGAAGAGTGACGCCTGCAAGTTGTCCTCTACATGGATGCTGTGGCATGTACACGCACGCACACACACACACACACACACACACACACACACAATGAGTAAAACCTTTTCCAAAATGAAAAGATAAACTTGAGACGGTTTGAATGGTTCCTTCAAGTAAAGGAAATGCGCTCCAGTTGAGTCTAAATGATATAGTTTTCATCCTTTTTAAAAACATGTTCTTACAGCTAAAACTTAGACAAGCCATCTAAATGTAGTGGTGCACTGCTAGAATTCTATCGTACATAAGACAAGGGCAGGAGTATTGAGAGTTTGAAGACACTCTGGGCCACATAGTACAACTCTGAGTCACGAAATATGCATATGTGTGTCCCAGGAGAGGACAAGATATGGGCTATCTTGGGTTGCTCTGCTGGTGACAATCTGGCCTGGTACAACCAAGGCCTAGGTTTTCCATTTCTTGCCCCCTTTCTGGCCATGGGAGAGCCTAGAAAGCTAAGTTTGCTAGCCTAGAACACAGGGTTCATTGAGGGAGCTGATACAGCTGTACATAGACCCTACTCATATCTAGAAATTCCTAAGTCTACAGCCTGGCTAGCTCAGTAACTGCTGTGGAAAGTTTATATCATGTCGTTACATTTTTAGAGGCCAATTTGGCAATGTCAAGAAACTGAGAAATGTTATTTCCTTGATGTAGCTACTAAAAATTTATCTTAAGAAAATTATGTCTAAGAAAAAAGAATACTGTATCCAAGCATACATCAAGCCACAGATTCTACAGAATGTTGTAAAAATTCATTTAATTGATCAGGTTCCAAGTTTTGTGAGGAAACCATCACTCCTGAGTATATGAAGAGTGGTAAGACATAGGGAAATGAAATCATGTGTTTAATGTATTTTAATGTTGATGTTAACGTGTGAAATAACAAAAGGAGTCTAACTAAAATTTTATTAAATTCCATTTATTTTATTAAATTTTATTAATATTACTTTATTAAAATTTTATTAAATTCCATTGCAGTACTAAAATGCTAGGAATGGTCTAGAGATATGACTTAGCAGTTAAGATTACATACTACTCTTTCTAGGACTGGAGTTTGAGTCCTGCACTGAAGTCTGGTGGCTCATAACTATCTGTAACTCAAGATCCCGGATTCTGTTGACTTCTTTTTGTCTCTGAAGGCATTGTACTTACAAGCACAAGCCCACATACAGACACACACGTCATTTAAAAACTAATAAAATCAAGCATTAAAATTTGCTACATGAAATAAATAAAATGCCAGAGATAAAATACAGAAGAATAAAGAGCTACAGTGTTTTCACAATTCATAGACAGTTATCTTGTAGAAAAGGAATTAAACACAAATGAGAAGAGAAAATTATCTAAATATTACTGGAAATAATAGAAGCAAAGACCATCACTTTCACTATCAGGCATTCAGAACAGAACTTGAACCACTGGCTTCCTCAAGAATGAGTATTCCATAGTCTTAGATCCTCAACTACGAACCACCCTGCTTTGTTCTCAGTGTGCAAAGAAATGCTTTCCTTTTATGAGTTCCTGAGTCTTTCTTTGTGCCATCATAGAGACATTTGATATTAAAATTATCCTTGGTACCAAATTGACATGACTAATTGTATAAAATAATGTAGTACTACATTATGCATAAAAATCTAGGCTTCATGTAGCCATGCCTTTTAAAACGGACTTACATCCCAGAGCATTATCATTTTTTGAGATTCTAAATTCTATATCTGTTAGAAAACCACACTTGAAATCAAGTCTGTCACCTCACCCACTCCACCAAGACTGCGGCTTCCAAACTCGAATGTCTGATTTGTGATTTCTAAGCGAAGCACCTATCATCTGATTTTTAACTTAATCTGTATTTGTAGAGTCACTTATTTTGTCATGTTGTGTGTGCATGGGTGTTTTGCATGCATGCATGACTGGGTACCATGTGTGTGCACGGAAATTGTGGAGGCTAGAAGAGGGCTTTTACTTCACGGCGACTGGAGTGACCGATGGTTGTGAGCCATTGTGTGGGTGCTTGAATTGTACCTGGGTCTTCTGGTAGAGCATCCAGTGGCCTTCACTGCTGAGCCATCTCTCCAGCCCCTGGTTGTAATTTTAGAAGTAAATGTGTTTATCTTGTCCTGATGAAGTCCTTTGATTACCAGACTATGCCAAGTTTTCTATTGTGTATTTGGTTCAATCCAAATTGGGGGCCTTATTTAAAGCCATTAGGATAGTTTTCATCTTTAAACCTGATGAATGATCATTGTAAAAATTAAAAGTGACTAGGGATGTTGAGAATTGTCAATAAGCAGTTAATATTTTTTTTCATATCATGATGGGCTATACTTTTCATGTGTAATCTATTTTGCAGTCCCCTTCACCTGTTTTTCTATTACACACAACATTAATTTTTGTGAGAAATGGCCATAACATGAAATTTGTCATCATAAATATTTTAAGTGTCTGACACTGTAGATAACTATGTTCATCTGTGGTATAGCGTTCTAGATTTTCTTTCTTGAAAAACTGAGGAACTTCTCTTTCAGTTGGCTTCAATTTTATAGAAGAGTATAAAGATTGGAGTTGGCTTTTCTTTAAATGTTCTAAGAATTCTCCAGGCAGCCATCTGGTCTTGAGATTTCATAGGTGATAATATTTAAAAATTATCATTTCTAATTAAATCCCCTTACTAGTTTCATATTTTATGTAATTAGTTCATATATACATGTGAACACCTATCCATATGTACATATGTATACATATATGCATGTGAACATATGTACATATATAATATATTAATACATGTATGTATTAATATATACATGTATATCATTATATTTATGTAGATCCATAACCATAGGTCTTTGCAGATATTGATTTCTTCATGATTTAGTCTTGGAAGACTACACATATCCAAGAATTGACCTACTTTGTCCAGGGTATATTATTTGCTGGCACAGAACTAATTATTCATACAAATTGTGGTCTTCCTTTCTTCTGCAGCTAGATGAAATATTTCTTCCTTGATTTCTGAATTTTATTATTAGAGGCTTTTCATCTTTAAAATATATCCAGCTAAGACCTTGTAAGTTGTGTTGATATTATAGAATGCATCTTAGTTGTGTTGATTTTTGTGTTTTCAGTTTTAATTCCTATTTTGACTTTTTATTTTTAGTTCCTGAAGGTATAAATTTGTGTTTTTTTTTATTTGAGGTCTTCCTTATTTTAGGTTTACTATTCTAAATTTACCTCTTAATACTGTTCACACTGCATCTCAGAAGTTTGGTTTATGTTTTATTTTTAGTTACCTTAAGGAATTTTCTAGTATCTCTCATGATTTCTTCCTTAACTCACTAGTTGTTTTTGAGTGTACATTAATTTTTGACACATTTGCAAAATGTCTTGTTATGCAATTGATTTTCAGTTTCATGTTGGTATGAATTCAATCTTTTTCATTTTATTAAGGCCAGTTATGTAGCCACATGGGTGACTTATCATGGAGAATGCTTAATGAGCATTCAGAATAATCTGTGATCTTCTGAAGCTGCATTAAGTGTTCTATGTCTGTCTTCAGTGTTGCTCATATACTGTTTTTCCTCTTTATCTTTATTTGGCTATTATTGAAGTGTGCTATGAGAGTTCAGATTACTGAGTCACTTTCTACTTCTCCCTTTAATGCTGTCAATATTTGCATTGTGTATTTGTGTCCTATACACCTAGGAGTGTGTGTATTTATAATTGTTATATCTTACTGGTGAATTGACTCTTTTGTCTCTATTTAATGCTCTTTTTTTTTTTGCTCCTACGATAGTTTTCAACCTTATGTCTACTGGTTCTGGCATTAATATAGCCAAGACTGCTTTCTTTGGTTACCATTTGGAATGTTTTTCCATCCTTTTATTTTCAGCATGTGAATATCATATTGAAAATGTCTTCTATATATGTCTGCAAGGTAGTTTAATCATGCTTTTACTTTCTTTAAGAATAAGTTGACTCTCCTTTAAGTGAATACCAGTGCAAATCTCAAGGACACAGAAGAACTTTATTACTTTAGTCATGAAATCCATTTGGCTGTAAGATATGCTTTCTTAGCAATGTATACCACTGTGCAACCAGCCAGGAAGCATTAGGAGATCACAAAGCCTGACGTGGCTCATTGGGAGCCAGCTATTCACTTATGCAAATTATAATAAATTGATGGAATAAATTAAAGCTAACTTTGTGCAATATATACATTTTTAAAAAGGAGCCATTGCATAATGTAAATCTGCCTATTTTTACTTTATTAGGCCTTTTCCTCTGATATTGCCATTACAGTTGAAATCAACTTAATAAAAAGATTGTTTTCTTTTGAATGTGCTATTCCACAAAGTAATCAAATGGGTTTGAGCACGGAAATCTGCCAGGTGTAATGAAAAATGAAACTTTATTAATGTTAGTAGTCATTCTTGCCCTCCCTGGACTTAGACTCTTATGGAAGGAAGCATGTAGGTCTCCTGGATGCTGTAATAAAGCTCAATGCATGTTTCTGTGTGATGTGTGAAGCAAAGGGCTAGCCACGTAAATGAGACAGGTACACCCATAGGCATAACTTGACACACAAAATTTTTCAAATTCCAAATATGCTTTAATAGCCGCACTTCATCAAAGCTGTAACATAGACCCTCCCTCAAGTAACTGTGGAGCCTGACTCAGCTAATGCCCTGTACAGAAAGTTCATCTTTGCTTTATTTGCCATCGATCGTCATCTACATTCTCAAACACAAAGAGAACTCATAGGCATCTTGCTAAAAATATCAAACACCTACATAGAATACCCATTTTTCAGTCACTTAGTCACTTAGACTGAAAATGATGGAAGTACATCCCTATTGTAAAAGCAACCTAACGTAATTGTAATGATCATGCTTTGTGTTTTATTAGTAACAGAAAGAATTGTTCTAAGCAGAACAAAAGTAAAGGAATTGGATGAACCCATCAGTATTTTATTTCCCAGAAACTAAAGAACTCGCACACATTCAGGCTAACCTGGGAATGATCTTGCATTTGCAAGCTCAGGCCTGAGCAACTTTCATATGGGAATCATGCAGTGTTGTTTTCTGGTAGTGAAATACATGTTCCTCCAGAATCCATACTAATGTGATCACTCACCTGATGCTCTTCCAGATTTCTTTTTCCATTAATTCTCACCATAACCTATGGTAACATCTACCCACAAAGGAACAATAAATTGGCAAGGAGAGCTCTTGACTTTTACCATTTGGTTTTATAGCCTTTCCAATGCAGTTTCCCTTTAATCGATATGTTAAATGAAATGGGATTAAAAACCAACTCTCCCTGTTTATAATCACTTTCCCCAACAGGAAAATAAATTATACTAAGGATACATTTTTGGTTTTCTTTTCCTTTTTCTTTCCAGAATATTTTCTACCACACTGGATGCCTTCTTGAGTGTTTAAGAATATTTAAGAAGTTATTATTTGACAATGCTAAACATCTGAGAAATGAGTTAAAATAGTATCCCAGACAAAGTATGCTTCTTATCCATCTGCTATAGAACAGTCTAGCATTCAGTGGGGTGAAATTGTACATCAAATAGCATACCAGAAGAGAAAGGTTACCACAAATAGAGGAGGATCTCTTGTTTTACCATATCATAATTCTAGGAATCCAACAATGCAGGTACTTCAGAAAACAGAGTGACTCCTACATTTAAAACACTCCTTTACCATATGATCAAGCAATTCCCAGGTATTTACCCAAGATATTAAAATATGTGTCTACACAAAGTATATATCACAATTATTACTAATAGCCACCCTTGAATACCTATAAAGGCTGATTTACCAGAAATGATTCAATGTTAGCTTGTTGATTTGGTGAATTCATAAATTGTAGGATAGCTGACCTGAATTTCAAAAATATACTGTGAATTAAGTCAAACACAAAGTCTGTATGCTATATTGCTAGAAAAGTTAAATTTACAGTGATAGCAAATCTGTGGAAAGGTGGGATCATCTGCAAAGGAGTTCAAGGATACTGCTTAGCAGCATCAAGGAGAAATTATCTAATTTGATGGATGGTAGTCCTTGCATGGTAATATGGAGAAGCATTAAAGTATAGTTAGGATTTGTGAGTTTTAAATGCAGTGTTGGGAAACAAATAAATTTTTTAAAATGAACTCATGTTTGATACTTACATAAATTCTCTAAAACAGAATTTGTCTATTAGAAGAACAAATAAGAACAATAGATTTATTTCAAACCATCAATAAAGCATGAATATACTTGTTTCTTCAAAATGTGAAAAACTACAGTCAAATTTTTAAACCTATAAATAGTAGATGACATATGACATATGTTTTATGTAAAAATATCCATATAATTTTCTTTCTTTTTTTTTCTTGGTTGTTTGAAAACAGAGCTTCTCTGGGTAGCTCTGCCTGGCCTCAAACTCACAATAATCTGCCTGCCTCTGCCTCCTGAGTGCTGAGATTAAAAATATATATCACCATGGTCCAGCTAATAATAATTTTCTAATTATGTATATGATTACATATAAAGTCTTTGTGAGTGCTAACCTGGCAAGGTATTTCTGAAGAGAGATGTTTCCCAGATTGAGAACATTGTATTAAAATTCTGCATGCTTTCATCTTATATCACATTACAGTTTTCCATCTTCATGTATTTGGGGGAAGTAAAAACACAAAACAAAAAAAACTGCCATGGCAGCACTTGGCAAGGTGAATATTTGGTCTCCTGGAGAATAAAGCTGTGAGGTCTTCCTTGAAATAAATGAGTTATACTCATTCATAGATTGGCTGATATTTTCAATTCATAGTTTCTTTCCTTTTTTTCTACATATAAAATGATTAAATGCCTTTACTTCTCCCCAGAATTTCTAGTCCCTGAGAGAGCTTATTCATAAGAGTGCATTGACTGTGTCTTTCAGTGAATAATTTACCTGGGTCTATGCTTTTACTGAGGATGCATTACTTAATGTCATCTCAACAGGTATGGAGTGGCATGAATCAGTTTCCATCAATCATTTCTCTTTTTAATCATTATTATTCTGTTTCAGAAATTATACTGTCGTTAATTCTAAAATCATCGTGGTCACAATCAGGCCTGAACCCAAAACAACTGACTCATTTTTGGAGATAGAGCTAGCTCACTTGGCGAATGTAAGTATCATGTCCTTGACATTGAGCTGCTTACAGAATTACCCTTGAATGTGGTTAATGGTCATTATTTTAACCAATAAAATCAGAGCACATTTTCTGTCTTTCTATAATCACAAATGAATTTACTCATTATGAACATGTATAGAAGCAGACAACCATGTAATTCTATGCTTTCATTCATGATAAAACTGTCTTCAATTTATCCAAGAGGATAATTAGTAAATTGTTCATTTGTCTGTGCATGTGGGTTTACTGAATTCTTGTTATGTCCTGGGAGTCAGAATGCAAATAAGAATCTATCTTACTATGTAGTGGGGGAAAGTGATGTGGATTTAAAAATCATTTAGCAGTCAAAACTATGAACAATTCCAAAGCAAGGAACTAACTTACAGGATATTATGATATTTCAATACTGAAGGTAATGGGACTGGAGAGATGGCTTAGTGATTAAAAGCACTGGCTACTTTCCCTGAGGATTCAAGTTTAATTTGCAGCATCTATAAGGCAGCTCCCAGTATGGAACTCAAGTTCCAAGGGCTCCGATGCCCTCTTCTGGTCACCATGGCCACAAGGACCCCATAAGGTGTACAAATACACATGCAGGCAAAACACCCATAAACATAAAGTAATTTTTAAAATTGATTTAATATATAGGGTGGCATGTAAAAATGCTAATACTTTTACTAATCTTTTTACTCTTACTCATACTTTTGTTAACCTTGTCTGGGTGCTCTAGCACTCTGAATTGTGACTGTTCATGCCAGAATGACGAAAGCCTTTCCCTAAACCAATCCAACTGCAGCTGAGTCTTGCAACTGGGTCTTATTAAGCCTGGCATAAATGTAAAATTACTTCCTATCATTTCTACATTTAATTAAATAATTAAATAGTTAATGGATTAAGGCAAGGGATGTGGTTCCTTTCAAGAGCCTCCTTATAATGCCACTTCCCCTCTTGTATTAAAAAGGGCCATCACATATTTGCATGTTTTTAATTTATTTTATTTTCCTATTCCTAACAATGTTTCTGTGAAGTCGATTTTTTGTAGTAAAGAAAACAAAAAGTGATTGAATTGTTTTCTCAAGTACATGTAGCTAGTGAAAAAGAGAGTTTACATCCACCTCCTTTGGGCTATAAAACTCAAATGTTTGTGCTATTGTGTAATTTCTGATTTCCCCCAGAAGTCAGACTTAGTTTTGTAGAAAGAGATAATCATCTTCCCTGTGTACTACATTATCATAAGAGGCCGCGGGCTTCAAGACTGTTTAATGAAACTGCAAATCTTTCTGTAATGGCTTTCCAACATTGTAATTAATATTTAAAATATTAGATCTCTCCTGCTTTTGATAACATGTGACCAAGCTGAAGATTTATCCTTAGTATCTCCTTCTTCATTACTTTACTGTACTGAGAGACACATTAGATTTTTAATAAGAAACCTATTTATTCATGTGTTCAAAGTTCTGTGAGATTTATCTTTTTGTTGTTGTTGTTATAGTTTCTCTTAGACATGTCTATATAGTTAGAGGAAGTAAAGCGGTAAGAGTTATTATTTGCAATGTAATTCTAGGACTACCAAATAAGTAGTACAGTGTTAGAATTTGTACCTTGCTTCCTATGCAAAAGATACTTAGAGAAATGTATTCTGGTGAATAGAAAAAGAATAATTGCAAATATAATTTCAATGAAAAAGTTTTTATTTTATTTTCTCATCCCTATGAACAAATACTTCACAAAACAATTTTAGCGAAAAATGATTCACTTTGCCTCCTGGTTTTAGGGGGTCTGGGCACAGTTGGGTGGCTTCCACGAACTTGGGCAGAGTGGTGAGAGCTGGAGTCGAAGCTGTTCTTCCCTTCTTGGTGATCAGGAAGTTTAGAGAGGAATGGGATGCCATTTATAACCTTCAAAGGCACAATACCCGCTGACCTACTTTTTCCTACTAAGCCTCTCCTCTTGAAGGTTCTACAGCCTCCCATTAGCTGACTTACGTATCGATACATGAGCTTGGGAGGGACATTTCATATTAAAACCAAAACACACTCATAAATTTACTAAGGCTATTGAAAATGAACGTGTTTATTATATGAGTCAAAGTTTTCGGCAAATATGTATTTGTCAGTTGATATTTTGAATAAGGTAGACCATATATAAAGAAATCGTTGTCTATGTATAGGAAGCAGTAAATTGTAAACAATTTTGTTATGCACCAACTAGATCCTGTAGTGTCATGAAAGTCAGCATAGAAGTATTTCACTTAGAAATGATTCAGTGGTTTTTAAAATATTGTAAATAATTGTATTGGTCAGATTCCACCCACCAATTTTTCTCATTGCAAAATATCCATATTGAGGACAGTGTAAACAAAGTTATTAAACGAATGAGGCAAAGAGAGACTAGGCCGCTGTAAGGCTTATTAAAATAAAGGGGGCGTGATTTGATGTCCTCCTGACTTTCTGTTTGGCTGAGTTCCTGGTTTCAAGCATGGCTCCAGCTAGCGTTTATGGACTTGTGCTTCTCTGGACAATCCTGTACTTCCTCTATTTTAAATATCTATTGAATTGTTTTTACAGTATTTATTGCATTTCGGGCTTATTGTTTGGAATTTTTTAACTCTTATTACATTTACATTTACATTACTACTAAACTTTGATTTTGAAAAATATTTTATTCTTCACTGAAGAAAAGAATATGTGACTGATTTACTGAATATCTTGATATTTATTGCCAGTCATATACTGGCATTTCATATACTGATATTAGTTTATTTCCATTAAAGAGATAATAAAATAGCCAATGCTGAAATATTAAAATCTCAACTAGAATGTAACAAAATGCATTTTCATGTGAACACTGAAGCAAAAATTAGCTACAGCTTCATTATTTATACAGATATCTGCATATCCTTTGATTTTATCTTTGCAATTGAAGTATTTGGAATATAAGAAATCTATAGTGACAAATCTGTCTCTATTTACGTGTTTTCTTATAGCTAAAGTGTCTGGTGCACTGCTCTGAGCTCAGCAAAGGATAACAACTTGCAAATGGAACGTGCTTCATATGTCAAGTGAATAAAACAGAAAATGGGGATTAAAAGTTATAGCGAGTCTAGGGAAAAGCCTATTAACATTTTGTAAATGAAATCTGTCCTTTTAAAAAGCTTTTTCACAAATAGCATTTATAGTAATGTTAAATGTAATAAGGCCCTTGGGAGCCCGCAGGAATAGGAAATAGAATATGGAACCGCGCCATCCCAAATGATATTTAGCAAAGTCAATTGCTGCTCTAACTAGCACAGTCATTAATGAGCAGTGCACCATTATCTGCTCACCTTCTCAGTGTTGACAGTTCACTTTTGTAAGCTGTAAAGTAAAAGTGCCCGATGCCCAATGTTTACACATAGCAATCACTTGTTTTTAAGCATTATCAGTGTTACTTTTCCCAGAAAAAAAGACATTTGCATTATGTATCACTGTTGTCATTCAGTGTCATTTATATTTTACATATAAAAATTTTAGATTCTAAGAGATATATGTGAAGTTAATAATTTTCTTGAAAATAATAATTGAGATTTAAATAAGGACAGTAACATGCATCTATGTATATACACAAGTACATACACATGCACTCACTCTGAGTGTTCTTTGGATGATAATCTAGACCTACTGTGTCTTTCCAAGGTGGATGGCACCCATGTATGTAAAGATGAGTAGGAAGATTAGACAGCAAATGCATTGTAGTTATGTCATGTGTATCAACTTTGCAAGTCTGAAAATTTACTCTTTTTCCAAGTAAAATATAGTTATGTGGTTCTTTCTGTTAAGGTGGAAATATTGTCTGAATTGCACTGGTTTGCAATCTAATCTTGGAAAAAGCAAACCAACAAACAAGCAAACAAAAGTCAATCCTGTAGGAAGGAAGCTACTGCTTCTTCCTATGAATGCTGTGAGGTGAATCATTTGAGAAATTTGTAGTTCCTGAAGTAGATGTATGTGAAAATTCTCATGGGAATTTGGGCCTGTGTATTTTACTTCCTTTGCTATATTCTTATGTGATAACTCACCAAGCTTACAAATGATAAAATTTGATATATGCGTATGAATAAAAATTGATTGCAAGCCATAACATTTGTAAATCATAGTGGGAAACATGGTGGAAATGTTCAGTGCTTTTTGCCATCAATAAGCATGAAAAACAACAAAATTAAATCCCAGCATGCACCAGTATTTCCATGATTATCAAAGTCGATAAAGTACTGAAAATTATTTCCCAAAGCTGTAGAAATCGCAGTCTATGAATCCATGACTTTTGCAAGCGTCACTTTTCAATTGTTTTTCTATCCCAACTTTTGTCTATTTGGAAGCAATTTCTGATACTTTGCCTGGCTAAGGCTCTTGGTGATTATTTTGTTTGAAAATCTTGACATGTTAAGTAGACAAGGTGGATTGTTTGCCAATAGCTAAAAGCGAAATGAAAATAGTTCTCTAGTTAAGTTACTTCCTCGGGTTATATTCCCAATTTCTCAGTATGAGCAAGGGTCCTCCTCACATTTTTCATGTAGTTTATTTTTACAACATCTATTTGATATTATTCCAAAAATATTTTAGACTAATTCTCCTATTTTTGAAGCAAGGATCAGCAATTTTTTTTTCAGTGAAGAGGCAGGTAGTAAATATTTCATACATAGACACCTAATTATTTTTGTCACATGTACTCAATTATGCTATCATATTTTGAAACTAGCCACAGAAAATATATAAATAGGTATTTATATATACATATATAAGTAAAATATATAAATAGATATGTCCCTATCCTGATAAAATGAAATTTAAAAATAGCTAGTATTCCAGAATGACCTTCTGTGTGGGAAGCAGAATAAAGGACCTTTTAAAACTTCCAGCTCCTTCTCTCCTACAGCCTGTAAATGTGTTATATTACATGTCAAATGGAACTTTTGTATGATTGTATATTCAAAAATACGTATTAGATATGTACATGCATGGTACGTGTATGTTAGAAGGTAGAGACACTGAGGCTGGGGAAATGTCCCAGAGCTTCTGAATAGATGGAATTTCATTAAATGAGCCATTGGATGTAAAGAACTTCGCCCAGGTGTGGTCAGTCAAAAACAAGGTAAGAAGACCTCAACTTGCCACTGCTATCACTGAAGATAAAGGAAGCAGCCCGAAGTCTGGATGTGATCTCAGAAGCTGATAGCAACCCTTGGTTGCTAACTAGCAAGTGGGACCTCGGTCTTACAACTGAAAGGAACCATTAATGGACTCATCCATATTCTTTAGAAAGGAATGTGGGGCTACTAGCACTTAGATTTCAGCCATGTAATATCCTTAAGCAGAAACCTGTCCAGGTTGGGTTATGTCAACTGGACACAATTCGAGTTATTTGGGAAGAAGAACCTTATTTGAGAGAGTGTTGTCATCAAATTACCTCCAGGCGAGTTTGTAGGGCATTTTCTTGATGATTGATGTGATAGGGCCCATTCAATATGACTAGTCTACCCCTGGGTAGGTGGTCCTGGAATTGTATGAGAAAGCAAGGTGAGCAAGACATGAAGAAAGTCAGTGAACAGAGTTCTTCTGTGACCTATGCTTCAGGTCTTGTCTCTAGATTGCTACCCTCAGTTCCTTCTCTGACTTCTCTTCTAACCCCAAGTTGCTTTTAATCATGGTATTTATCACAATAATAGTAACCAAACTCAAACAAACCCCAACTGAACACGTTCCAGACTTTTGACCTGTGGAAACTGGTCATGTTATTCTGAGCTTCTGTATTTCTGGTAATAGTGTGCATTGGAGCCCCTCAAAATAGTTATAAGATGAAAGTAATCTATATTACACATTGAGACTATCATTCAGAATCAACTGCACTTAAGTACACTACACTTTCTGCTAAGAATCACCTGCCTAATAGAGTACATCTTACTTAGATGATTGTATTAGCACTGTACGAACATGACCAAAGGAGTCTTCAGCCAGGGAGAATGGTCAGTGTCAGATGGTGGTGGGATAATAGAGACAATTGAAGGATGTCATGAAACAGCATCACCTAGACAGCATGAGATGACATGCACAAAATGCTAGAAGAAGACGGTGTGAAATCTGTAATGACACTATGTTCCTGAAGCAACTTAGCTAAACTTCTCTGTGGGCAGTGGATAGACTGCAGCTGGGCAAATCACCTCTGCCTATTCCTATCTCTGCTACAAACTCATGAAATCCTTCTTAGGACACGTTGTGGAATATAAACAGAAATAAACCGAGCCTATATGGAATCTACTTAAATATTTTTTATTAAAGTTGCTTGCTATTTTAAATTTTAGGAAATACTTGGGCTCTTCAACCCTAGAAGACACTCTATTTGCTAAAATAAACAGATAAATAAATAAATAAATACAGCCTGTTGAGTCTGTTCAGTGTTCATAATGAATAACCAATTAGGAGTCTTATTTCTGGAGAAGAATATTTCTTCCTTGCTCAGCAATTGTTAATTGCTTATAGTTCTTTGTCTAGAGGTGGGGACCTGTGAGATTTCCTCCCTCTACATTGGGATGGGATTCTTTAGTTGCTTAGGCAACCATGCTGGTGAGATTTCAGGAGTGTATCTTCCCTATTATAGCTAGAACACACAAACTTACAGGAGATTTCCTGGTCCTCTGGCTCTTATAATTTTTTCTCCCCCTCTTCAGACATGTCCCTTGAGCCTTAGGCACGGGAGTTATGATGTAAGTTTATCTTCTGTGGTACAAAAAGAAGCTTCTTTGATGAGGGGTGAGACCTGCATTTCTCTGTGACTATAAGGATTTAGAATGAAGTTAGGAATTATACTGGTTTAACAAAGTAATGGTAGTATGTTTTA